AGAAACCTCTGCGCGGGGGTTTCTTGCCATGTGCGCGGCCACGTGGCCGCGCACCTTAGAGGGAACAGTGCTAGATATTCTTTTGAGATTTCCAGGTGAAGAATTGCTAAGTTACAGTGCCTGGTGCTACATGAAAAGAAGGAATCAATCTTTCATCTAGATTTTATACTTCTATGGCATGAAAGTGCTACGTAGCCCAGTATTATCTATTCCTACAATCTTCAGCTTGAAAAGTCTCATAAGGCCTGTATTGAGAGGCTTATTTGCCATTTGGAATCTCATATAGTTGATTTGTGACTGCCTCAGTGACCAATTCGGTAAGTCTAAAGAGATTCTCAGTCATCCAGGTCATGGTTGTCCCAAAGGTGCTTTTTCAGGAGGCAACAAGACTTTCTTGTTATTTCTTTGAAGACATTTCACTTCTCTTCCAAGAAGCTTCTTCAGCTCTGACAGGATAGTGGAGAATGGAAGGATTTATATTCTCTGCAGACAAGCTGGTCATTTGTATCCTTTTAGAGGGTCACTGAAGCACTTGGAGGTTTATCTGTGTCCTCAGGGTCACCTGAGTGGTACTCCTGGTTCTTGTAGTCTGCAATTTCCCCACCTCTGGAAATCCATTCCTACTCCCACACTGTTGAAAGGGCGTTCATCCCAAATTGTGCAGCCAAAAGTCTGCAGAGACTCAGCCCTCCAGACCATGGCCGTCCCAAAGGTGCACCCCTTAAGAGCCAACTGGACTTTTCTGTCCCTTCTCCGAAGACTCCTCACCTCTCATCCAAGAAGCCTCCCCAGCTCCAACAGGACATTGGAGAATGGAAGGATTCACATTCCCCGCAGGCAGCTGGTCACCTGCATCCTTCCAGAGGATCACCGAAGCATCCGGAGGCCCCTCTGTGTCCCCAGGGTCACCTGAGCAGTGCTCCCAGTTCCTCCCAGTCCACAATTTTCCTTTTCTCTTCTGGAAATCCATTCCCACTCCCACACTATTGAAAGGGTGCTCATCCCAAACTATGTAGCTGAAAGTCTGTAGATTCTCAGTTATCCAAATCATGGTTGTCCCAAAGGTGCCCCTTCAGGAGGCAACTGAACTTTCATGCTTGTAGAGATTCTTCAAAGAAAAATAGTCCAGTTGCCTCCTGAGGGTTAGGCTTCGCAAGAGAGTGAGTTGTTTTAAGTCCAAATGTAACCTGTTTTCCCATTCCCAATGCTGATCTGCCTTAATTGCATTAATACTTCAACTATGTCCACAGGTTTCTTGACTACTGCAAAGACAATAAAGCTTGGAAGGGATATAAACACAGTACAGTAGACGATGAGTTGCCAATAGCAGAGCTGTCTTCTCTCAACATAAATGATCAGCCAGCAGGTAAGGAAAGGGCTGCAGTGTTGAAGCATCCTTTAATTGTTAGTCATTCTTCGGATGTTTGGAAGAGAGCCAGTTTAATTCTTTCATTCTCAGAGGAGTGGTCTTGGGGGATAAGAAGGGAGAGTCAGCCCACAAATTAAGAAAAAATGAGGCTAAGCCATACAACCTTAAGTTGAAGGAAGGTAAAAGCAAGAATTAGGAAATGTTCTGCCCGTGAAATAAGCATTTAACAGTCTTCTTAAACGTAGGCCAAATTGCAACAATATTGGGTCACGAGTCAATGTTCTAATTACTCAGTTGCTCCTCAATTGTACAAGAATTGTAACCAACCCCCTTTGAGGTGTCCAGAATGCATGAAGCAAGAATTTTTGTGGTATTAATCTCAGAGGAATGAACTCTGGAAACATCATACCAACTTTTTGGCATGCAAAATGAGAGGGTGTGGACCAATTGGAGATTAGAGTTGGCAATTGTGCCCATATTATGTGGTGTAGGGGAGGTAATAGTTTTGTTAGCACTAGTTATCTTTGCTCGGAAGCCAGAACACTGGCTAAATGAAGATTTTTCAACTTCCCTGTGGGTTGGTGATAGCATTGATGGCTCATAGGTTGGCGTGATTTGATTAGATTTTGCTGGTTGTCAGCATTCCATGATCAGCAGGCAGCTCTCGTGACTTGCCTCAAGTGTTTTAGAGGGAAGGGAAATTGGAATGTCATTGTTTAAGGGATGGTGTTGTTCTTTTATAAGCATTACGTAGACTGAAAACTGACTTCCAGCCAAAATCCAACTCATTTGCCATCTTTGACTTTTCTACATTGAAGCTTTATGCATCTTGGAGAGAAGAGTTAAGCGCACCCCTTTAAATGTTCAGAAAAGTTTGCCTGGTCAGTGCAAGGACAGCAAATTTCCTTCTTTCTATCTGCCTACTTGCCTCTTCACCTATTACCTTCTCTGCAGGTAACAGCTTACAAGAGACAAGTTACATCCAGCAGCAAATGGAGCCACAATGGAGATGTGAACATTGAAACTAGTGCTGTGTGATCCTGGTGAACACAGCCTTCTTGAAAATTTCTGCAGGATTGACAGACCAGACAAGTAGTTAAATTTTATTTGATCTTCATACCTGCTATTTCTCAGGAGTAAATATCAGGGTTCCCAAAATTCTGCTTAAATAAATAATGCAGTAGAAATCCATGTGCGGTTACCACTAATGACCAAATTATGTATGTATTCTTTCATGAGTGCCTGCACATTTGTAATGCTGAGAACAACTGCATATGGGCACCTGTAGGGTAGGTCTGAGGAATGGTAATTGAAATATGTTTTGATATTTCAAACAGTGATTACATTTCAGTATCAAGAGATACTGTAGAGATTAGTAGAGATTATGAAGAATTTTGGGGAGAGGATAGGACAAGGGAAAGTAGAAACTTACCAAAACCTTGTTAAGTTTCAAGACTTAGATTTTATCTAATCAATTTTTGTACTAAATTTATTAAAATGCATTATAAAATTTAATTATATGTATCATGATTCTGTATTAGTTGTAAAATTCTCTTGTTTCATCTTTCTTCTTTTTGGGTGGAGGTGAATAGCAAGAAGCAAGTTTTAAAAAAAAATCATTTTCTGCTTATATCCTGTTGGGATATTATATTGAAGGCAAAATACAAGCCAGTGTCCTGACAGAAATACAATAGAGAAGACTAACCACAATAGAGACCCATTCCTCCCAGGCATTCATATGAACATTTTGGCAGCCCCTAGCCTTTCAGGTTATGGAAGGAGACTGGCAAATACATTGGCTTCTAGTCCAGCTTCATACGTTGCAGAATTCAAAAAATCTACCTTCTATTATTTGTGAAAACATAAAAGCTGTGAAAATCCATACAAGGACCAAATTACAGAATTAGCATAAAACAGCAAGTATAGAATTAAGTCATATAAACTGTTGTCCCTGTACCCAAATGAAAGGGGGGGAATGGGGGAGGGGAGTTTTTAAATACCTATCTTACAGCAAAGGCCTTCAAACTTGACATCTTGAAGACTTGTGGACTTCAGCTCCCAGAATTTCCCAGCCAGCATCATATGGAACATGACAGATGCTCATTCTTATAAGAACCCAGCCTGAATCACAATATGGGGAAGGACTTATTTTTTCCCCTTATTATCAGAGTGCCGACATTAAGTTTTTATCTACTTCTGGTTAGCCAAGTTGAATATACAAGATTCAAAAAACTATAATAGATTAAATGGGAGAGGAGGCAAAGTTGCCCATTTTCCGTTTCCTCCTCCTGCCTGGCATTACACAGATGTGTTTAATTTAGATTAACCTTCCCCCATGTGGTTCTGGGTGGGATTGAGAAATAATCTTTCTGACCTCTTAGATAGTGATGGAATTTATTTTTCATTTGAAAGATGCCTTGACTTCTGACTCAATTTTTTTCATTCTTGTGTTATACAGTGATGGGACTTTTTCAGCCTTTGGAACAGCACTAGGTAGAGAATTATTTAAGCACAAGACTTAGTTTAGTTCAGAAGCACATAATTTTTACCCCAGATTAACCAATAGAAAAGCACTAATCGTCTGCAGTCATATTATCTCAAAGGAACAAGACTATCCTTCATTACATTAGGTCATTTGTTATTCCTGTATGTTTAAAAGGTAGTCCTGTGCATTGTACCACTGGTGATGGTTATTCAGTAGATCCTCAGAGAGCTGCATGATTAGGGAGCAGCTGGCACCATGCGCCAACTGCAACAGTAGTGTTTGGCTCTTTGCCATCTTATGAGGTAAACAGAAGATGAAGAATGCTGGTGTCTTACTCTGTTCCTGGTACAGCTGGGCTTACAAAGACATCATAATATACCCACTACTTGGGTAGATGCTGTGATGTTTAAGACGCACAAATTCCTAAGAAAAACTTATTTTTCTGACACACCAATTTGTTGCTATAGCCCCATTGGCTGGTCAGATATATTTCATTCTCATGGAATTTCTGAGGTTTTTGGAGTGATTATTAAAATTGACATTACATTTACTCAATGAAATACGAAAACTCCATCATTTGCTTCATTCCACTTTTGGGGGGGGGGGGGAGAGGATCTACAATCTATGTTTGAAAAGGTCCAGATGGAATGTGTCTTCCAGTCTTAAACTTTATACTGAATATTTCATTCCCTTCAGGTTCACTTTCAATTAAATTTGTCTTTCTCTTGTTTCATGGTGTTTAAAAATCCCCTCCAAAGCAGTAAGAAGAGAATGCACATTTATCTAACCTTAGTAAAAAATACAGTTCAGATGATCACCACATGAAAACACTATCTAGTCCCTTCAGTGCATTTTTTGAACGTCAAAAGACATTATTCAAAGGTTATTTCTTTCAGTATTTAGAGCGTTCCTTTCACCACTTGCTATTCTATAGTAGATGAGAAAGCCAACTCTGCCCAACCTTAATCCAGCTGGCAGGACTTCAAGGACAAAGAAAAAAAAGGCAAATCACATAAAATCAAATTAATTTAATAAGGAGCTGAGAATATAGTATTGTCAAAACATAAGCCTATGTTCCTCAGACTGAAGTGCAATAGAGAGCACGAATTCCAATAGAGGCTGATTCCTCCCCAGACATTCATATGAACATTTTGGCAGCCCCTTGCAAGCTTTCAGGTTATGGAGAGAGACTGGCAAATACATTAGCTTGTAGTCCAGCTTCATATGTTGCAGAATTCCAAATGTCTATCGTCTGTTATTTGTGAAAACATAGACCTGTGAAAATCCATGGAAGCACCAAATTATAGAATTAGTACAAAAGAGCAAGAAGTATAGAATTAAGTCATATAAACTGTCGGCCCTATACCCAAATCATTACAAAAAGGATTCAAATGATTTATCTTGACTTCCCAAACATACAAAATTATGGTATAGGCCAAGGAAAGACCGACAGTTCACTGCTGTGGAGTACCCTGGGTGGCCTTTTCTGTACAGAAGAATGGAGGCTGAAATCAGCCAACTATCATATTAAACTTGTACTCTTCCATCTATCGAGATGCCATGCTTGCTTCCATGCAATCCGTGGAACCGGCGCATGCTTCAAACAGCACAGTCACAGCTTTTGCCAACACTCTTAAAAGAGTGGGCAACCTTTGCGCCTTTTATTCTTTCTGACTTGCAGAGCAGCCCGGGTGGCCATTTCAAACACTTCCCGCACTCCGTCCTTTGTCTTGGCGGAGCATTCAAGGTAGCCAAAAGCATTGATTCTGTTCGCCATGTCTCTGCCATCTTCCGGCTTCACCGGCTCCTTTGTAAAAATGATGACAAGCAAAACAATTTGAATATTATTTAGCACCGCTGGATATAACAATAGAAAAATCCCAGGTAACCCCAGTACTTACTTACTCTTAATTGTTTTTCTTAGCCTCAGACAATATAGCAGAAAGCATTTCTGATGACCACAGCAAGTTCTCAAAAAGTTTTGACAAAGTGTAGTATATTTATGTCAATTTAATATGACTGCTCATATTGCTTTTATAAAAATAAAAGCAAGGAAACCAGCTGCTCAACAGCAGCAGAAGTTAAAACTGATCCATCAGTCACAATTAACATAGCCAATGTATAGATAGGCCTAGCCCCACTTTCTGACTCCCAGGGCCAATGATGGAACTAAACCTTTAAGACATTACAAAAGGCCAACAGAGTTGGAGCCAATAGGATCTCTAGATAGATGATGTTCTAAAGGGTGGGCACCAATAGTGGGTTTCTAATTTTTGTACTACCTGTTTGGGAGCACTCCTGCGCATGCTCGGATACACCCGGGCAGGTGGGCAACTACTGGTTCGCCTGACCTGGGCCAAACTGGCAGCGACCCACCTCTGGTGGTCACAATAACAGAAAGGGGTCCCTTCCTGAACCCTGCCAAGGGCCCCTCCTTTGTAAATGCAACTTGAAGCATACACATTACATAACTTAATATTTTATATTTTAGGAATATCATTGTGCATCTTGCTGGTATGACAGAAGAAGCATAAACTCCAGACAGCCCTGAGACATCTGCTATTTTTTTAAAAATAAAACAGGTATAGAACTGTGCAACTTTGGGGTTGAGGCCATCATTCTGACAAAGGTCCAATATGTAATACTGATGTGTAGGAAACACTGGCATAAATTCTTAGTGCAGGACTAAATTGGGTTTTTATCTGCCACAGGCTATTGGGATGAAGGGAACACTCATCAAAAAAAAAAGTACACTTGACATTAATGTCTTTATGACGCTGTGGGGAGGATTTGGGCATATATAGAAGACAAATTTCCTTTGAATCTCTTTCTAAAGGCATTGCTGAAAAATAACCAAATCATCATGAGCCAAGTCCAACCCCGCTTGGAAATACAAGCTGAGTTAATAGCATGTTTTGCACCCAGAGTAGCATAGGAATTGTAGTTGCCAGTGCCTCCAGAATAATTTCCCATCCATGCTGGCTGGGGAAAAATGCTAGACTTGAAAAAAGATAGACTGCTGGAAAAGCCTGTGGATTTATTAATTTATACCCTATTTTTTCATGCTATTTGGGTTGTCATGATAATCAAAAACAACCAATTAAAGCAAACTATAAAATGTAATNGACTAATCTGCAAACATCAACTCCATCAACTAATCAAAATGTTACAATACAGCCAACCAATCTGCTTACAGCAACAAGGCCAGCACTCCACACACACACACCAATATTTATAGAGGGACGGCAGCTCTGATCGCACTTTGATCGCACAGGCACAAAGCAGAAAGCATCAGCCTAAAGATGACGAGTGGGATCTCGCCGAAACGTCACCAAGATAGTCTCAATCTTACACGGGAAAAGACCCGAATACGCCAAAACCTGCATATATACATACATACACACACACACATATGAAAAGGCAAGTGTTCCACATCTGCAATGTGTATTACATTAAAAATCAGCATTACAATGATTTCATCTCTGCTGAGGACCAATGGATACACTAATAAGGACTATGATACACTAATTTCTCTTTCTGCTCAGGTAGAGAAGATAAGAAAGGCCATCAATTTAGAATTGAAATCCCTGATGGGGATCCAGGATCTAAAGGTGAGTTCTGGACCAAAGGAGTCTTGATTATTTACTGTTATGTCCTGTAGCTCAAACCTACATTGGTACGACCAGGTAGGATCTAATATGCTGCAATAGCAAAGCATGCACAGCTTCAGTTGGATTTTTCTCTTTTGAAAAAAAAAATCCTTCAGTACTAAGATCCAGTCATCATACCAGCCTTTACTGTAATTTTAAGGTTCATACTAAACATTCAGAAACCAGGATGAACACACATGAACAATGAAAATACAGTGGAACTTTGGGAAAGGTGTATTTATTGTAACAATGTACTAAAAGGTTCTTCACATCTCTGCCTGCCTACCTCCTCAAGAGTAGTCCTCAGTTAACTGTGGTTATTGGGACTGGGAATTCAGTCACTAAGTGACACTGTTCTTTAATTTGATGCCATGTGACCATGCTAACTTAACAATGGCTGTTGCGGCAATCCCAGTTGCTGCCGTTAAGCAAATCCCACACAGTCACAGCATCCCACCATCCGGTGATTGCCATTTGCAACCTCTTACCAGTTTCTATATGACTTTGCTTGTTGGAAGCTGGCAGTGAAGATCACAAATGGTGGTCACCTAATTGCAGGATGCTTTTACATCCTAATTGCAAGCTAGTTGCCAGGTGCCCCAATTATGATCATATGACTGAAAGTTGGGATGGTTAGAACATCTAGAACAGGGCCCCCCAAACTTGGCAACTTGAAGACTGGTGGACTTCAACTCCCAGAATTCTCCAGCCAGCTATGCTATGGAGAATTCTGGGAGTTGAAGTCCACAAGTCTTCAAGTTGCCAAGTTTGAAGACCTCTGATCTAGAACCTCATTCAGCACTATGGAGTGAGATGTCATTCAACAAAGGCTACTTGTATGATTCACAATTTGGAAAACCCAGATGTAATGAAAGGAAAAAGCCCCCTGCTAAGCCCATCTATCACTCTAGAGTTCCATAACTCCGTAACTCATAAATCCTAGCTAGAATTCTTTTATGTTTCTGCACTTCAGGTGGGCTCTGTGGAGGAATTCCAGGGTCAGGAGCGGCGTGTGGTGCTCATTTCAACAGTACGCAGCAGCAGCAATTACTTTGGAATAGATGAAGAGTTCAACCTTGGTTTCCTCAATAATCCCAAGGTATCACACCGATCTTTCACATGCTATAATCTTTCGCACATCCGGGGCTGGTTGGCTTTTTTTATGGGACCAAAAAAGTCCAGAAACATATCCTCCCAAATGACTCTTCCTTTTGGGGAGCCATTAGAGAAACTATAACAAAGTAGTTATAGTTTACTAGTTGCCTAGTAAATTTATTGTTTATAATTTAACTTGTGAATTAACCCATTTCTGATTATTTAAGAAAACTTGGATAAATAAAACATGGGTTAGTATATTCTGTATACATTTCACATATCTCCATATCATATTTCTGTAGCCCCCGGTTTGGCCTAGAAATATAGGAAGAATTCCAGGAAAGGATAATTAACATTATCTAATGGTTCTGATGCTCAAAACCATTTATATATAAGACTGCTGAGACTACTGTAAATCTCTCTTTTAGAGCAGCACTGTGTGTGCTTTACACAGGGATTTCATCAGTTGACATTTTTACAACTTTCTTTAAACACCTTTATGGTACAAGCAAAGTTTGATTTATCTTCCCAAAGCATTTTAGAACAAAAGCTAATATAGCCTGAAGCTCTGCAAAGTAAGAGTTTCTTAACTCTTCTGTACCACCAGGTGGTGATCCTTAGTTAAGTTCAAGACTACTTTTTATTCTCTCTGTCTTGATTCACAGCAACTATATGGGTAAATCCCTGGAATTTTCATAGCAACCATTTTAGAAGTGCAGGCAGACCTCAAATTACAAACATATTTGGGAACAGAAAATTTGGTAACTAAGCGAAACAGTCATAAAGTGAGATATCATTTGACTGCTTCACTCAACAACCACAATTTTGACTCTCCCCATTGTGATCATTAAGGGGTGAGGGTGGCCTGGCACAAGCTGTAGGACCCACTTGTGCACAGAAACCTGCCATGATTTGGAAGGCCTCGGTTGGCTATAGGACCCACTGACATGTGGGTTCCTGCTGTAACTCTGGATGCCATGGCTTGCTCCCCATCACACCAAGCCTGCGAGAAGTTGGTTGATTACAGATCTCACCAGTGTGTGGAAAACTGCTGCAGACAGATAGGCCCAGGACTTCCCCTGACTTCACTATGCCTGGGGTGCCTTGATTGGTCACCAAACCCAGCAGTGTATGTAAATTGTTTCACTTACACCTTTGTGTTTTTCTGCAGCTGTAACAGGCACCCTTCGTACAGAGGCCACCTTGCAGCATTCTGCAAGTGGGCACCATTGTCAGGATCGTTCAGAAGGCTTACCCCCCCCCAAAAAAAAATTATGCATGCTGAATGACATAAATGGCCCTTGCCTGCAGAATGGCATGAGGCGGCCTCTGTAGGAAAATCATACCTCACATTGGCTAGGTTTGCCGGTCAGCAGCTGCAGGAAAACACAAAGGTAGGTGGAGCAATTTATATGCATTACTCAGCTCTGTAACGGGCCAAGACATTCCAGGCATGGTGACTAGGTCACAAGCCCCTTTGTTCAGCACTACTGTAATTTCACTTTTTGGTCGCTGAAGAGTCGTTAAACTGGTGTAAAGTCACCCTGTTTGCTTTGTGCCAAAAGTGGGACCAAAACTCTGTTTTCTCCATTCTTAGTTCAGTTTCCTAACCACAGAACCAAGGAAAAGTGAACATCACAAATTTGGGAATGAAATCCCTGTTTGTAGTAGTTTTGTGTTAGATAAAGGCTATTTCTTAGAATATCCAGAAGATTCAGTTAGGAGATGGAAGTTAAGGAATCATCTTTAAGTGTCAATTATGAAATCTGTATCTCATACTTGAATGTGGAGAGCATGGAGGATTCTTTACCAGTGATCTAAGTTGTTAACTTTTTTTCTTTTTGTGTCACTCCTCCTTTTCATTTTCAGCGCCTGAATGTGTCTCTTACAAGAGCTAAGGCACTGTTGATCGTTGTAGGCAACCCAACTACACTAAGCACGGATCCACACTGGAAGGGGTAAGTGTTGGCCTCCTGAATCCTAATTATTTTTTCTCCTGCAGTGAATTAGAGGAACAACTGAATAAGCAGCGCTANAAAAATAAATATTTCTTAATTCTATTTTCAAACTCTTTTTTTTAAGATTCAGCTTCTTGCCAAAGTGTCCTGGGAAAGCAAACCAGAACTAAATTAAAAACTTCACTGGGGTGGTTAAAAAGGAGCCTCAATTTGTACTCAAATTTCACTCTTCAAAGGAAGCTCAACTGTTTAGAATTGGAAATGCAAAATCAACAGCTTCTTTAATCAGCCATAATCCCAAGTGAGGGTGGAATTGATGAGGTAACATTAATTAGGTCAGACTACAAACAGTAAATCTTAATGAAATATTTATGTGTTAGAATTTTCCACAGAATATGGAAGGCATCGAGGGAACCTAGTTCTACAAGAACTGATAATGAAAAAAATATGTTCACAGAGGCTATGTGAAAGATAGAAAACATCTGAAAAATTCAGAGCATGTTTAAATTGAATCTAGAATCCTCAAGCATTATTGTTTACAGGTAATTCAGAATAGAAATAGGTACACAGATGTATTATTTCTCAAAAGTAAATAAGGTCACTTCTATAGGTTTGTTCTTAAGTCCCAGAGTTCAGTGAGACTTGCCCAGTTTAGGTAAGTAAATATCGATTATGTCATAGGTTTTTTTGTATTTAGTATTCTACTATTATACTCTAAGCCAGTGTTTCTCAACCTTGGCGACTTTAAGTCCTGTGGATTTCAACTCCCAGCTGGCTGGGGGATTCTGGGAGTTGAAGTCCACAGGACTTAAAGTCGCCAAGGTTAAGAAACACTGCTCTAAGCTATATTTTAAGCTTGAACTTCATATATTCACAGCCTCCTACTCCAAGAGAATCAAGAAACACAAAGGTGTTTGGCTTTAAGTCAGAAATTTATTTGTAGGTCCTTATTTCCTCAGAACCTGATTTTACGCATTCAAAGCGACATTGAGAAAGTTGCTATTAAAAACGAACACAAGGATTCTTGCATGACTTCACGTTTAGAATGAAAATTTAAGAGCAGAGACAAAGCACCAGCCTGGATGTTTATCTTGACCGAAGAGAAATAGCTGGAAACTGCTTGATTCATTATTTGCAAAAGTAACAAACCAATACTGGTACATTTACTCTGAAATGTAAAGATCCCCGGTGATAATGACTGTTTTCCCCTAGAAGTAGAAGGCATTGAAAGCTTCAATAAATATGTGTACAAGACAATTAAACCACAATGGCACAATATTTTATCTCCAAGAATGGAAGAATATCATTCAAAAAAGCAGACAAGTGTTGATGGATCCATACCTGTTTCATCTTTGCCAACTCTCTGCGTGTGTGATCATCATTCCGCAAGTCCTTCTTGTTTCCTACAAGGATGATGGGCACATTTGGGCAAAAATGTTTCACTTCAGGTGTCCATTTTTCTGGTATGTTCTCTGGAAGAAGCAAAGAGATGGGAGAACCCACTCACTGAGCAAATCCCCAGCAGAACACATAAGTGTAATCCCCACATCAATATAAGGGAAAAGATCCATTTCAGGGAGACTGAATAAAATGAGTCTTATTTTCAGAACCTTGGCTGGTAAACAAGTGTCAGTCTGCTTCATTCACCTCACCCCACTACAGATGTAAGGGAACTTTGTATTCTTTAGACCACTAAAAGACAGGAGAAGAAGTGATTGCAGAGTGTGTTGGAAGTTCCCCATGTAAACCAAAGAACCACAGTCAGCAATATCCCCGCAGACATGTAGTAGCAAAGAGCTACAGAAAGACTTAATGTCACAAAGGCTTTCTGTGCAGAAAAAAAGTACATATCCCTTCATCCTTGAATTTTTCCCCTCTGCAATACTGCCAACATTCATTTCCCTCATCTTGCTCCTGAAGGCAGCTCTTCTTTCTGTCCTTATATACTGAAAAACTATTAATGGTGTCAATAGTGCAAACATATCCAAGGAACTATCCAAACTGGCTAATCTTGAACGGAGGAAGCCATTCAGTCTCCATCCAGCAAAATAGATTCAATCCCTAAAGGATTCCTCTGTCTAGTACAGACTTTGAGGAAACATCCTGAACTTCTGACAGAGTCTGCATTCTCTTAGGCGGTATCCATGTATGTAGGCTATTACAGCAATCAAAAGATTCAGCTTTTTGTCATGTTAAGGTACTATTGCGAGACCATGGCCAAAAAGGATTAAAAAACAGTTACAGTTAAGATCTCTGTGGTAATAAATATTATAAAAGTAATCAAATATGGCTGAGAAAAATCTGATATGATTTCAGAACAGAACAGTTGATGTATTTTGTCTAAAGTGATGAACTCATTCACCTGAAAAAGCAGGCCTATTCCACATGCAGCAATCAGACATGGGAAATGAATAGGGGGATTACCTGACTGACTTATGTGCCAACAAGTTGTTGTGATGTTCACCCTTAGAGACCACATAGATCTTTTCCAGATGTCTCTAACCTGGTCTTTCTGAGTGCCTCGTTGCCATTAAATCTCAGTATATCTACCTTGCTGGTTGCTCGATCTTTTTCTTTCCACCTTTCCTAGTATTAGCACTTTTTCCACAATTAGGTTTTTGTATAATGTGTCTAAAGTAGGATAATTTGAGCCTGGTCATTTGCAAGAATTCTCTGTTGGCATGTTCAGTGATCCATTTGTCCATATATTGGTTGTCCACAGTCTTCTTCAACCCCAAAGTCAAAAGCATCAATAGTCTTCCCAGATTATTGAACTTCATACACTTAGTAAGAACTCTGCAAACCTCATCTCTTCCAACAGAAGTTTATCATAACTTTTTAGCACTTCTCAAAGCAATACATGTTTACATTTTTTTCTTATTTACCTTTACAACTCAAGTGACATTAATTACATACTACACACAATACTATTTCCAGGACACCAATTTGGCTTTGAAGAATACCTGGACATTTGAAAAGCATTAGTCACTATGATATGATATATGATATGATATGATAATAGAATAGAACACCATACAATCGGGAAGGGACCTTGGAGGTCTTCTAGTACAGCCCCCTGCTCAAGCAGGAGAACCTATAGCAGCAATGGCTAAACTTTTTTGGGTCCAGTGCCATATGTCAAGGGAGCACGGGGGGGGGGGTCATGCACAGGTGTGCTGCACCCATAATGCAATGTGCAATCCTCAGCATACATGTGGGCATGACAGGTGCTGCCCCTCCCATTTTTGCATGGTTTTTTCGCCCTCCCCAGGCTCCAGAGGCTTTATAGGAGCCTCCCCAGGGTCCAGAGGCTTTATAGGAGCCTGGGGAGGGCGAAAACAGCCTCCCACATCCCACAGAGGCCCAAGGCCTCTGAAGGCTCTGGAGGGCTTAAACTGGCCCTATGAGCAAACCAGAAGTCCATTCCTGAATTTCCAGTTTGCCCGTAGGGTCATTTTTTTGTGCTCCTGAGGCTTCAGGGAAGCTCCTGAAGCCTCCAGAGGGCCTCCGGGAGGGGCAGGGAGGCTATCTTCGCCCTCCCCAGGCTCCTATAAAGCTACTGGACCCTGGGGAAGGTGAAAAGACTGAACTTAAAAGGCTGAACTCAGCTGGCCAGCGTGCACATACATGCTGTCCAGTTGACAGGGCAACACCTCATGTGTCCTGACAAATGGCTCCGCGTGCCACCTGTGGCACGTGTGCCATAGGTTCACCATCCCGGACCTATACTATTTCAGATAATGATGTTACTGTGACACTCTAGTACAATATTGTTGATTAACAGTAAGGCTGTCCAGTAGAGAAATGCTTGTCTCCTGCTTTATTGACCAAAGCAATAGTTTCAGATGGCATGGTAACTACTTCAGATAGAATGAGAGCTTCTAAGAATACATAGGAAGACATACAGTAGGTTGACCATTCCTGACCTATAATTTGAACTGTTATTTTATAGCCTTACCTAAACTATCTGGACTGTCAATGGAAAAGCACATAAGGATAACATCTGTATCTGGATAAGAGAGAGGCCGCAGCCTGTCATAATCCTCTTGCCCAGCTGTATCCCAGAGAGCCAGCTCCACCTATAAATGAAAAACAAAATCAAGTCCCTTAATCAACANGGTTAAAAAGGAGCCTCAATTTGTACTCAAATTTCACTCTTCAAAGGAAGCTCAACTGTTTAGAATTGGAAATGCAAAATCAACAGCTTCTTTAATCAGCCATAATCCCAAGTGAGGGTGGAATTGATGAGGTAACATTAATTAGGTCAGACTACAAACAGTAAATCTTAATGAAATATTTATGTGTTAGAATTTTCCACAGAATATGGAAGGCATCGAGGGAACCTAGTTCTACAAGAACTGATAATGAAAAAAATATGTTCACAGAGGCTATGTGAAAGATAGAAAACATCTGAAAAATTCAGAGCATGTTTAAATTGAATCTAGAATCCTCAAGCATTATTGTTTACAGGTAATTCAGAATAGAAATAGGTACACAGATGTATTATTTCTCAAAAGTAAATAAGGTCACTTCTATAGGTTTGTTCTTAAGTCCCAGAGTTCAGTGAGACTTGCCCAGTTTAGGTAAGTAAATATCGATTATGTCATAGGTTTTTTTGTATTTAGTATTCTACTATTATACTCTAAGCCAGTGTTTCTCAACCTTGGCGACTTTAAGTCCTGTGGATTTCAACTCCCAGCTGGCTGGGGGATTCTGGGAGTTGAAGTCCACAGGACTTAAAGTCGCCAAGGTTAAGAAACACTGCTCTAAGCTATATTTTAAGCTTGAACTTCATATATTCACAGCCTCCTACTCCAAGAGAATCAAGAAACACAAAGGTGTTTGGCTTTAAGTCAGAAATTTATTTGTAGGTCCTTATTTCCTCAGAACCTGATTTTACGCATTCAAAGCGACATTGAGAAAGTTGCTATTAAAAACGAACACAAGGATTCTTGCATGACTTCACGTTTAGAATGAAAATTTAAGAGCAGAGACAAAGCACCAGCCTGGATGTTTATCTTGACCGAAGAGAAATAGCTGGAAACTGCTTGATTCATTATTTGCAAAAGTAACAAACCAATACTGGTACATTTACTCTGAAATGTAAAGATCCCCGGTGATAATGACTGTTTTCCCCTAGAAGTAGAAGGCATTGAAAGCTTCAATAAATATGTGTACAAGACAATTAAACCACAATGGCACAATATTTTATCTCCAAGAATGGAAGAATATCATTCAAAAAAGCAGACAAGTGTTGATGGATCCATACCTGTTTCATCTTTGCCAACTCTCTGCGTGTGTGATCATCATTCCGCAAGTCCTTCTTGTTTCCTACAAGGATGATGGGCACATTTGGGCAAAAATGTTTCACTTCAGGTGTCCATTTTTCTGGTATGTTCTCTGGAAGAAGCAAAGAGATGGGAGAACCCACTCACTGAGCAAATCCCCAGCAGAACACATAAGTGTAATCCCCACATCAATATAAGGGAAAAGATCCATTTCAGGGAGACTGAATAAAATGAGTCTTATTTTCAGAACCTTGGCTGGTAAACAAGTGTCAGTCTGCTTCATTCACCTCACCCCACTACAGATGTAAGGGAACTTTGTATTCTTTAGACCACTAAAAGACAGGAGAAGAAGTGATTGCAGAGTGTGTTGGAAGTTCCCCATGTAAACCAAAGAACCACAGTCAGCAATATCCCCGCAGACATGTAGTAGCAAAGAGCTACAGAAAGACTTAATGTCACAAAGGCTTTCTGTGCAGAAAAAAAGTACATATCCCTTCATCCTTGAATTTTTCCCCTCTGCAATACTGCCAACATTCATTTCCCTCATCTTGCTCCTGAAGGCAGCTCTTCTTTCTGTCCTTATATACTGAAAAACTATTAATGGTGTCAATAGTGCAAACATATCCAAGGAACTATCCAAACTGGCTAATCTTGAACGGAGGAAGCCATTCAGTCTCCATCCAGCAAAATAGATTCAATCCCTAAAGGATTCCTCTGTCTAGTACAGACTTTGAGGAAACATCCTGAACTTCTGACAGAGTCTGCATTCTCTTAGGCGGTATCCATGTATGTAGGCTATTACAGCAATCAAAAGATTCAGCTTTTTGTCATGTTAAGGTACTATTGCGAGACCATGGCCAAAAAGGATTAAAAAACAGTTACAGTTAAGATCTCTGTGGTAATAAATATTATAAAAGTAATCAAATATGGCTGAGAAAAATCTGATATGATTTCAGAACAGAACAGTTGATGTATTTTGTCTAAAGTGATGAACTCATTCACCTGAAAAAGCAGGCCTATTCCACATGCAGCAATCAGACATGGGAAATGAATAGGGGGATTACCTGACTGACTTATGTGCCAACAAGTTGTTGTGATGTTCACCCTTAGAGACCACATAGATCTTTTCCAGATGTCTCTAACCTGGTCTTTCTGAGTGCCTCGTTGCCATTAAATCTCAGTATATCTACCTTGCTGGTTGCTCGATCTTTTTCTTTCCACCTTTCCTAGTATTAGCACTTTTTCCACAATTAGGTTTTTGTATAATGTGTCTAAAGTAGGATAATTTGAGCCTGGTCATTTGCAAGAATTCTCTGTTGGCATGTTCAGTGATCCATTTGTCCATATATTGGTTGTCCACAGTCTTCTTCAACCCCAAAGTCAAAAGCATCAATAGTCTTCCCAGATTATTGAACTTCATACACTTAGTAAGAACTCTGCAAACCTCATCTCTTCCAACAGAAGTTTATCATAACTTTTTAGCACTTCTCAAAGCAATACATGTTTACATTTTTTTCTTATTTACCTTTACAACTCAAGTGACATTAATTACATACTACACACAATACTATTTCCAGGACACCAATTTGGCTTTGAAGAATACCTGGACATTTGAAAAGCATTAGTCACTATGATATGATATATGATATGATATGATAATAGAATAGAACACCATACAATCGGGAAGGGACCTTGGAGGTCTTCTAGTACAGCCCCCTGCTCAAGCAGGAGAACCTATAGCAGCAATGGCTAAACTTTTTTGGGTCCAGTGCCATATGTCAAGGGAGCACGGGGGGGGGGGTCATGCACAGGTGTGCTGCACCCATAATGCAATGTGCAATCCTCAGCATACATGTGGGCATGACAGGTGCTGCCCCTCCCATTTTTGCATGGTTTTTTCGCCCTCCCCAGGCTCCAGAGGCTTTATAGGAGCCTCCCCAGGGTCCAGAGGCTTTATAGGAGCCTGGGGAGGGCGAAAACAGCCTCCCACATCCCACAGAGGCCCAAGGCCTCTGAAGGCTCTGGAGGGCTTAAACTGGCCCTATGAGCAAACCAGAAGTCCATTCCTGAACTTCCAGTTTGCCCGTAGGGTCATTTTTTTGTGCTCCTGAGGCTTCAGGGAAGCTCCTGAAGCCTCCAGAGGGCCTCCGGGAGGGGCAGGGAGGCTATCTTCGCCCTCCCCAGGCTCCTATAAAGCTACTGGACCCTGGGGAAGGTGAAAAGACTGAACTTAAAAGGCTGAACTCAGCTGGCCAGCGTGCACATACATGCTGTCCAGTTGACAGGGCAACACCTCATGTGTCCTGACAAATGGCTCCGCGTGCCACCTGTGGCACGTGTGCCATAGGTTCACCATCCCGGACCTATACTATTTCAGATAATGATGTTACTGTGACACTCTAGTACAATATTGTTGATTAACAGTAAGGCTGTCCAGTAGAGAAATGCTTGTCTCCTGCTTTATTGACCAAAGCAATAGTTTCAGATGGCATGGTAACTACTTCAGATAGAATGAGAGCTTCTAAGAATACATAGGAAGACATACAGTAGGTTGACCATTCCTGACCTATAATTTGAACTGTTATTTTATAGCCTTACCTAAACTATCTGGACTGTCAATGGAAAAGCACATAAGGATAACATCTGTATCTGGATAAGAGAGAGGCCGCAGCCTGTCATAATCCTCTTGCCCAGCTGTATCCCAGAGAGCCAGCTCCACCTATAAATGAAAAACAAAATCAAGTCCCTTAATCAACATAATTGTGACTCTGGTTAAATACAGATACTGAAGTAGGTGGGGGAATCCAACTGTTTTTCTTCCCTCATTTATTACTTGGCTCCTTGGCAATTTTAAGCAGCCTGGCAAAATATCTACCAGTATTAAACAATTAAACATATTAAACCCTGTACTTAACAATGGCCATTATGCAGAACCGCTTTTCTTCATCATTCTCAAAGGCATTCAAACTCAAGTTCATAAACACAATCAAAATTAAATACAAGAACATCTCTTCAGGATGGTCAATAGAATGTTAGAAGTACCAGAAGAGTTTTATTGAAGTTTTCACTTTTCAGAAATGCAACATTTTATACCAATTTAATGAGCAAATGTGATATATGAAATCGTCTGAAAGATGGCAACCAGATTCACAGCCAAACCAGAAGTACATTTAAATGTTTGTATATTTATCTATAATATAAGGATGAGGAGGGTTGACTCTTCACATAAAAGGGGAGTGTTGTGTAGAGATGGAAGATCAAACCTCTCCTAATTTACTTCTTTGAGATCTAGTCCTTAAAACAAATATGTGTTCATCAAATTGGCCTTCATCAGCTGGTGACTTATGAAACTTTTGAACTTTGTTCAAAACTACTCAGCAAAATAAACACGGCATGAGGGCAAGGACCTGGGGCAAATGTATAGTTACTAAATGTATCTTATCTATTTAATTATATTTCAAATTAATCCTGGAATTTATTTTATCGTTGAATCAAATTTATATACAACTCATGTCATTATCTAAATGATGCTGAGCAATTTACAATTAGTTTAACATTTATTGATTGATTTTTCCTGAAAATCTTGGTTGGTGTCACAGGTTGGTGGTAAAGGAGTCTGGAGAATATATGCAACTAGAGAGAAGAGAGTACTATTCATGATGTTAAAATCCCATAGACATAAAGGTCATAAAGAAGATCGATATTTAACTAGAGAGAAAGAAGGCTTCTTTAATGGAGAATTATCCTTTCAGCATATTTATTGGGTAGGAATTATGCATGTAATTTAATCTTTCATTTAATCTACAAATAAAGAGCCTAATGTTTGAAAAATGGCTTCCATCCCATTGTTTTAAACTTTTTAGTCCTGATTATCAGTGGTTGACCAACCAGATATTGACATTTCTAACAGGACTCAGTATCAAATACTAATGGATGCAAAGAAAAAAAAACTCAAGACAATATTAACTAGTGGCATCCAGAGAAGAAAACAGATATTACTTAGAAGCTGATTTTACTATAGTATTAAAGACGACAAGTTACCTGTTTCCCATCTACTTCAATATCAGCAATGTAATTTTCAAAGACTGTTGGTACATAGACTTCTGGGAACTGGTCCTTGCTAAAAACAATCAATAGGCATGTTTTCCCACAGGCACCATCTCCCACAATCACCAGCTTCTTCCTGATGGCTGCCATGGCTGTAGAGACAAAAAGAAAGCTAGGTCTGAGGTTTAGTTCATTAGGATATTGGAATATTACAACAAATAAGTATAATACTACAGCATATTACTCCTCCATGTGAACAAAATACTGTATATTCTGGACCATATAGAACAAGCTTGAATCAAAGAAGTGTAAATTCTTTATTCGGAATGACTTATGGAGCAAGTATGTAATCAGAAATTGAATATTTAAAACAAAGGAATGGAAGCCATACTTCCAGTGTTAGATTTTGTATCTATACACTAATTGGAAGACTTAAAAAATCGCACTACCCAGTAATGTACTAAAATAGTTTGGTAATTTTGGAAATAAAGAGACAGCAATAATAGCAACAGAAGAGAGGGAAACAAAAAAGTTGTTCACCCACTATATCATTTCTAACTACTGTATTTCTGAAATTCCACAGTATTTATATTTTTAAAGGACAATATGAAATACAATATGTTAATTTACTATATGTTACATTCTTCTAGGAATCTATCTAGTTGTCACAAATATATATTCTCACAACTGTCAGAGGTTATTAGGAATGCTCTGTAAAAAAATAACCAGAAATTCAATTGTATGTCTCACAGTGATGAAAATTTGGCTGAGAATTAGGATATGTCTAGGAGATTTGTTTTAAAAATATCCTAAATACACTATCATATCCCAGTGATAATGATTTCTGTAAGCCTTCTTGCTTATTTTCGTTTTCATGGACAACTTGAAAAACATAACTGGGCTCCATTTTGAAACAGACATTATGAATCAGCTACAAAACCACAGAAGCATTACAACATCCAAACTTTACACTGATTTCACCCCAGCAGAGTTTATTTTAGAAACTATGAAGTGAACCTGAAATATAGTGATGCAGCAGAAGCAAAACATTCATGAATAAGCATTTGTACAGGAGAAAAAAATCCAGTGAAATAAAAACTGCAGTATAATCCTTCAGGGCCTCTACTCTAAACCACCATTTTTCTGTATTCCACATGCCAAGAATGAAAATTTTCAGAATGAAAATTTAAGGCAGCCTTTTAAACACACTTAAAAGGTTTTATTTTAGACTTAAGGTAAAATAACTTTCTACACTCAAGATTTTTTTCCCCATTCCCATGTTGTGGTGCTGCTGTGCAAATCAGTCATCCAAAAATAATTATGGTTCTTGTTATGCAGCAGCATGGGCCACTTGCAAGACATAATATTTTTAAACCATTTTCCAAGGGCCATGATGGGAATAGCCTGCGACGTCATGAGCTCCTTAAATAGTCAATTTTGCCTATTAAATTTCATTTCCTCCTCCCCTCCACAAAATACAGGCTAGATATTTTAGTTCTTCCCACTTCAGGAACCACATTTGGCCTATGGATGATCTACCCCTCCTTATATGCAATTGACTCTCCTGGTACGTTGTGATCTTTGGGCAGAGATTTTTTTAAAAGAATATGGATGTGGGTGCCTGCACACTCAAAAGTTCAGCATTTTTCAAAAAGAAGATTCCTATTGTTTTTCAATAAAGCACAAATAAAAGAACATATAATATTAATAAAGACTGCTGTGATGTAGTGGCTGACTTGCTAGATAAGGAGCCGAAGGATCCTGATTATAGATCCAGTTATAAATTTTGGCTGGGCATGAAAGCCAGCTGGTTGTCTTTGGACCAGTCATTTCCTCTCAATTCTCGTCTGGGAAGTTGGAAAACATCTATATCAGTGGTGGGTTCCTACCAGTTCGGATCAGTTCAGTCAAACTGGTAGTGGTTTGATGGCTGGGTCACTGGAACCGGCAGCCACCCAGCCCTGCCACACCCCCAAACCGGTTCTCCGGGCAGTGCCGTAGTGTCGCCATCTTGGTTTTCAGTTTTGTGCATGCACAGAACAATTGTAATCACACTGTGCATGGACGCACAGTGTGCATCAAGAGCCGTGGGGGGGCGCACACGAGTAAACCGGCAGTAGTGCCTGCTGGAACCCACTCCTGATCTATATACCAGACTGCACTGGACTAAACAGATAATAGATTATGGTCCATACTCTTCAATGGAGATGTTTCATCCACACTTGATTGATTTGAGCTGATAATATTAGTCACCTTTGTTATATATTTACATGATTTCCTTTAGCTGTGAACTTCAGCTTCCCTAGTTTCATGTATACAGTGTTCATTCACTCTGAAAATCCATCTTTTAAGGGCCACTTTTAAGGACCTGCCTATCCAGAGGTGGTATAGAGCCAGTATAGCAGAAAACTTGAGTAGCTCGTAGAACTGGCAAATAGGCTGGCCCGGCCCCCACCGCCTCCCAGTTTCTTTTATTGCCCTGAACAGGAGAACGGAGCTGGAAAACACGTTAGTGGAGTACAGAGGGAATGGGGATTTTGCAGTATCCTTCCCTTGCCACGCCCAGAAAGCCACATTCCACAAAGCCACACTACTCCCACAAAGCCATGACCACAGAACCGGTAGTAAAAAATTGGAATCCCACCACTGTTTCTGTCCCTCAATACTTGATCTCTAGATAGATGAAAGTAAGGCTACTATATCTGGGCCACATCATCCAAATGACCATTAGATGGCATCAAAGATTTTTTTTAAAAAACCTAATTTTTGATCCATCTAGTAATTTATTTTGTATCCCAGATACGATAGCCTTAATTAAAGCAATAAGTTTCCTTAAGTGATCCCCAAAAGAAAGTATTAAGATGAATCATCTACAGAAACCCTCAACTTACAGCCATTTGTTTAGCAACTGTTTTAACTTTCTGTGTGTATTACTTTACAGCTAGGCTTTGTATGGTATGAAAATTATGAAAAACTAGCTTGAAAAAGTTACTTGTAGTGCGTACCTGTATAATAGTACTGGTAATCATGTCCATTCAAAAATTTTATTAAGGTAGGTGAAAAGTAGATATAGGATCATTTTTAAAGCCTGTCTAAGCTATTGCCACCAGTCTACGTCATGTAATCTCATGATTTAATTGCAGCACCATGTTGAACCTTGAAACTGTTAAACAATAGAGGGAACTACTACCAATGGCTACATTCCAAAAAAGAGAAACATATCCATATTGAGAAGTCACTAGGCCAGTTCCCTTAAGCCAGATCTGTCTGGCTTGGTCATGCTGGCTAGGCTAATGAGAAATGAAATTGATCACATTTGAAGGACTCTGGGATAGGAAGCCCTGCCTTTATGACAAAATTCAGTTCACTGTTAACATCTGAAGATCTGCCCACAATTTTATTAAAGGAAGCTCCATCAGTTTTAATCTGGTAAGAAATAGTGATTTCAGATTTTTGTTTCCCTGACATTCTGAACTGCAAATAGATTTGTGGCATGACTTGGTTATTTGGAAACTGTTGTTAGCTATTTATTTTTTTAAATAATATTCTTGTATTATTTTTCTTTTCTAAACATGCATTTAATGCCTCAGGAGTAATGTTGTAGTGCTGGATAGATAAGATAATCACTTTAAGAAAAGAATGAAGCTGCTGGTATTTTATGAATGCAAATCCTAGGGTAATGTAGGGCCTTTGACCTTTGAAAGTAAGCCTGAAAATCAAGATGGAAGAAAAACAGGGATTGTGGGTTGAATGCAACTTTGCGTAAATTCCCCAATTATTTGACTGTCAAGGCACACCAACTGAGCTTTTTAGTTCAGACATTTAGCCGTATCTGTGCTCTACCTACAGTACTCCATCCATCCATCCATCCATCCATCCATCCATCCATCCATCCATCCATCCATCCATCCATCCATCCAACCACAGTGTAAAAATTTGATAAATGATCCTTATTTATCAAATGTTTACACTGCTCACCTCCATAAATGGTTTATAAATAATATACCAGTTTACTTTCTATTTTCCAGTAGAATAGTTTTATTCAATTATGTTTGTATCACTGATCCATTAAAAGTGATGTGTGGGCAAGGGGAGAGGAGATTTAATTTTTATCTGGGTTCTTCCCAGATTTAAATTATACATACACATTTTTTTTATTCCCACATTAGGCCTTTTATTTCTTTTCTAGAGCTAACAATGGCTTCAGAGGAGAAGATTTAAGTAGGTAAATGATGGCTAATTCTACTACCAGTAGTATCTCCCTATTAGCCAATGAAAAAGTTCTGGAGAGGATAGGTTGTAAGTCTTCACATCATGACTACTTGGGCCTTTAATCTAATAGGATTTTTGGTAAATAGCTTGCCCTTTTTCCTAGTTAAAATTCCAGAAAAAAAAATCATTCTAACTATTGGAAAAGAAATTATTGCTCTCCCTCACTTACTAACTCCTATAGCATTAAATTGGCGGCCCATGGCCCGGATGTGTCACGTGCAGGCCACACCCAGCCCAGACCTGTGAAGGGGGAAAACATTGCAATATGTCATGTGATGGCAATGTGACACCATGAGTTTGATACTCATGTTGTACAACAAAGGTAGGCAATCTTTTTGTGGCCAACAGCAGGTTCTAATAGCTTATGGCAAATTGAGGGCTACAATATTGGGAGTGTTGGAAACTTTTTGTGAACCTGATTTACTTATTTAAGTATTTTTAGCCAACACATTATCCAGAGGATCTTATAGGAGATTAAAAGTCATAAAAAGATAATACTAAAAAACCAAGTCAAATAAATACAAACCTCAAATTAGGTTATATTTTAGGACTTAAGCTACACTTCCCATTTGTTCCCTCAGCTGAAAATAGTTGGATGTTATGTCTGAGTTCTGGCTGCTATGGTTAGGGGAGCTTTGCGTTCACAAAAAGAGTAATCAAATTAATTATTAGACTACATTAATTACATTCTCACAATAATCAAATTTCTAATATACCCCAAACAGCAAATGCCCCCCCCCATTTGTAATGTATGGTAATATACTCAGTCCAGAACCTCTTTTAATTCAAAGGTTTGTAAGCAATCATTCAATAACTTAGAGGAGCACAATTCCTCTGAGGCATTCATGCAGAATAGTTAATAGCTACTTACTGATTTTAT